TTATTTCTTTCTTTCTTTTTTTTTTTTTTTTTTTTTTTTTTTGACAGAATCTAGCTCTGTCACCCCAGCTGGAGTGCAGTGGTTGGATCTCGGCTCACTGCAACATCCACCTCCCGGGTTCAAACGATTCTCCTGCCTCACCCTTCTGAGTAGCTGGGACTATGGGCATATGCCACCACACCTGGCTAATTTTTCTATTTTTAGTAGAGATGGGGTTTCACCATGTTGGCCAGGCTGGTCTCAAACTCTTGACCTCCAGTGATCCGCCCGCTTTGCCCTCCCGAAGTGCTGGGATTACAGGTGTGAGCCACCAGGCCTAGCCTATATTCTATTAATGAAAGGATTGTTCTGTTCGTTCAGTGTAACACATTGTTAATACTTCTTTCTTCTTGATTTGGAGACTGAAGACCACCTTGAATCTATGTGTCAAATGGAGTTGATTTTTTGCTAGGAATTTGAGTCTTAGAACTTTGGATTTTGTTGGAAATTATAATTATGCTGATTTACTGAAATTGCCATAATAGTTATTTTGTTAAATTTATTGAATGAAGTAGTTGTAAAAACAATTCTATATATTTTCTTTAGAGTTCGGTTCCCTCAAAATTATAAAAGCAGGAAAACTCAAGACAAAGAAATCCAACAAGGTATGTTTTCATAGGAAATAGTTCTTAACTGTACTGATTTTTGAAAATTGAGGCTAAGAACTCTTAGGTTATTGTAAGTGTATTTTTCTTCTAATTGTACTGTTGGTATTAGAGTAAAGTTAATATTATGGAGAATCATAACCTTTATCCAAATCTCTATATATGCCTTTGCTATCATGTATAACTCAATTTAGTTAATGTCATTAAATAGTGGTGAAAGTTTTATCATAAGATTAAGCCATTCTTATTGCAAATGTTCTATTGTTTGCAGAAACTTTTAGATTAATTTGGCAGATGCCTGCATATAACTGAATGTAAATGATTATTAAAACTTCTTTCACTTTTAGAAAATGTTTTTTTCTGCTTAAAATTTCTAAAACTAATTTGCAGACCTAACTCTTATTTGTTACTTCTTAGGCTAGTGATTTCAGCGATATGGAGAATTGGCCAACACCAAGTGAATTAGTGAACACTGGAGTGAGTATTATTTTAAAGTTTTTCTTTAAAGAAAGGAAAATATATCCATTTCAACATGCAGAATTTTATTTTACTTAAAATGTAAAGAATTGGTCATACTGGGGGACAGATTTTTTTTATTTGTTTAAGACAGGGTGTTGCTCTGTCACCAGGCTGGAGTACAGTAGTGTGATCACAGCTCATTGTAGCCTCAAACTCCTAGGCTCAGGTGATCTTCCTACCTTGACCTCCAGAGTAGCTGGGACTACAGGCACGCACCACTGTGCACAGCTAATTTTTGTATTTTTCATAGAGACGGGATTTTGCTGGTCTCCAACTCCTGAGCTCAAGTGATCCTCCTGCCTCAGCCTCCCAAAGTGTTGAGATTATAGTATGAGCTACGAACCTGGCTGAGGAACAGATTTAAAAACTTGATTCATCAAGAAGATTACATTTTGTTAGTTTAATTTGCAGTTATTCTTTGATGCTGCCAGTAACATTAGTGATGAACTTGTCTTAAGCTTTACTCATGGTAAGCTTAACCTAACCTATTATTTCTTTCTTTCTTTTTTTTTTTTTTTTTGTTTGTTTGAGACAGGGTCTCATTCCATTACCCAGGCTGGAGTGCAGTGATGTGATCACAGCTCACTGCAGCCTTGGCCTCCCAGGCTCAGGTGATCCTCCACCTTTGCCTCCCAAGTAGCTGGGACTACAGGTGTGCACCACCACACTGGCAGGTTTTAAACTTTTTGTAGAGATGGGGGTTTGGCCATGTTGTCCAGGCTGATATCGAACTCCTGAGCTCAAGCAATTGGCTCGCCTCAGCCTCCCAAAGTGCTGGGATTATAGGCGTTAGCCACCATGCCTCGCCTATTATTTCTTTAATAATGAAGACATATTATAAATTGTAGTCAAATTTTTATATTTGTATAAAATCACATACATTGATAAAGAGGTGCTGAAAACATGGCAGCTATCCTTTTGATAGTTTACCCACTTTTCAGATAACCTAGTTTAATTCATCACATTTCCCTCATCTGATTGTATTCTTTTTTTGAGACAGAGTCTTGCTCTGTTGCCCAGGCTGGAGTGCAGTGGTGGGATTTCAGCTCACTGCAACCTCTGCCTCCCTGGTTTAAGTGATTCTCCTGCCTCAGCCTCCTGAGTAGCTGGTATTACAGGCACGCACCACCACATCCGGCTAATTTTTGTATTTTTAGTAGAGACTGGGTTTCACCATGTTGGTCTCCAACTTCTGACCGCGGGTGATCCACCCACCTTGGCCTCCCAAAGTGCTGGGATTACAGGCGTGAGCCACCGTGCCTGGCCTCCTCCGGTTGTATTCTTAAGAGGTAACCTTATATGCGAGATTTGCATTTTCTAGAATTTTGTATATGTGGAAGCATTCAGTAGGTACTCTTTTTTCTTTTTTTTTCCTGGCTTCTACTCAGCATGATTATTTTGAGATTTTACTTGTGTGTCAGCGGTTCATTCCTTTTTCTTGCTGAGTAGTATGGATGTAACACAGTTTGTCCATTCACCTATTGTTAATGGACATTTGGATTAATTTTGGGTTTTGGTTGATACAGATAAAACTGCTATATGAACGTTTGTGTAGAAAATTTTTCATTTTTTCTTGGGTATGTCACTAGGCTGGATCATAGAGTAGCTACCTGTTTTAGCTTTTTAAGAAATTGCCGAATTTGCACTTCTATCAGCAGTGTACGTGAATTCCAGTTACTCCACATTTTCACTCCCTCTCTTTTTTTTTTTTTTGTGAGACCTGATCTCACTTTGTCACCCAGGCTGGAGTGCATTGGCATGATCTCAGCTCACTGTAGCCTTGACCTCCTGGGCTCAAGTGATCCCCCACCTCAGCCCCATAAGTAGCTGGGACTATAGGCATGCACCACCATGCCTGGCTAAGTTTTTTGTATTTTTGTAGAGATGGGGTTTTGCCATGTGCCCAGTCTGGTCTCAAATTCCTGAGCTCAACTAATCTACCTGCCTTGGCTTCCCAAAGTGCTGGGATTACAGGTGTGAGCCACCGCACCCATCTTTACTCGCCCATAGTTTAGTCAAGTTTCAAAAAAATTTTAGCCATTCTAATAAATGTGGAGTGGTCTCCCATTGCAGTTTTAATTTACATTTTTCTGACGAATGAATACAATAATCTTTTCATAGATTTGCCATTGGTATATCTTTTTGATGAAGTATCTGATCAATCTGCCCATTTAAAAAAATGGAAGGCTGGGTGCAGTGGCTCATGCCTGTAATTGCAGCACTTTGGGAGGCTGAGGAGGGTGAATCATTGGGGTCAGGAGTTTGAGACCAGCCTGACCAACAGGGCGAAACCCTGTCTCTACTTAAAAAAAAAAACAAAACTAGCCAGGTGTGGTGACATGTGCCTGTAATACCAGCTACTAGGGAGGCTGAAGCAGGAGAATTTCTTGAACCCAGGTGGTGGAAGCTGCAGTGAGCCGAGATTGTGCCACTGCACTCCAGCCTGGGCAACAGAGTGAGACTCCTTCCCCCCCACCAAAAAAAAGTGGAATTGATTTCTTGTTACTGAGTTTTGAAAGTTCATTCTGTATTTTAGATAAAAGTTCTTTGTCAAATACTTAACAAATACTTTCTCCTAGTCTGCAGCTTTACTTTTAACTGTCTTTTGAGAAGTAATTTTTTGCTTTTGATAACAGTTTTTGTCATTTGTTTTGCATTTTTAAGTTAAGTATATTACCACAAATTTTTGGGTGTGTTAGTGAAAATGTTAATGGAAATCATTTCATTCTGAAAACCTTTTTGCAGTTTCAGAGCGTCCTCAGCCAAGGAAATAAAAAGCCACAAAATAGAAAAGAAAAAGAAGAGAAGGTTGAAAAGAGAAGTAACAGTGAGAGCAAAGAAAATCGGGAAACAAAGTTAAATGGTCCTGGTGAAAATGTCAGTGAGGATGAGGCTCAGTCAAGTAATCAACGAAAGAGAGGTCAGTTTGTCCATATCTTTATTTTGATTTTAGTTTTTGAAGAAAGTTGTAATGAGGAATTGTATTTCATTAACTTATCTCTGATAGTCAAAAATGTATAGTTTGTATTTCTTCAGGATAAACAATCTGCAGTGGTAACTCATTTGCTTTTGCAACATTTCTGAACTATTAGACTTTCCTTTTGTATGTAACTTGTATTCTATGCAAGAAAATGGAATGGAGTTCCACTTACAGGTACAGTTGTAGATACATTCTTGGAAAGTTGTGTGACAATTATTGTTCTTTTACATCTGCATTGGAACTGCTCCCTATATTTAGGGAGTACTGTGAAAATTAAATACATTTTTTTCCTAAGAGAAAAGTGAGAATAGGCCAGGTGCAGTGGCTCACACCTGTAATCCTAGCACTCTGGGAGGCCGAGGCGGGCGGATCACTTGAGATCAGGAGTTTGAGACCAGCCTGGCCAACATGGTGAAACCCTGTCTCCATTAAAAATACAAAAAAAATTAGCCGAACACGGTGGTGCACGCTTGTAGTCCCAGCTACTCGGGAGGCTGAGGCAGGAGAATTGCTGGAACCCAGGAGGTGGAGGTTGCAGTGAGCCAAGGTTGTGCCATTGCAATCCAGCCTAGGCGACAGTGCAAGACACTGTCTCAAAAAAAAAAAATTTTTTTAGTCAGCCTTTTCCCTCATAGCATTCCCCTGTCAAAATTACACTTTGAAGGAATAAAAATATTGTCTTCATGTCCTTTTCCATTTTCTTCTCTGAACTTTTCATGTGTCTAGGGACAGTTTATGATTTACCTGCTTTGTAAAAGCATATACTCATTCAGTGGCCGGAGTCTTGGTCAAAGTGTCTTCACGCGCTTCTAGGCAGAAAAGGGCTTTAAACTGTTAAGTTGTCGGTGACTGAAGCAAGGTGATTTTCTGGGAGAGTAGCAGGAGACATAGATAGGCAAGGTCCATGGTGTACAGGGCCTTGGAGTTAGGATTCTATTTTTTTTTTTTTTTTTTTTGAGATGGAGTCTCGCTCTGTCACCCAGGCTGGAGTGCAGTGGCCGAGGCGCGATCTCGGCTCACTGCAAGCTCCGCCGCCCGGGTTCCGGCCATTCCTCTGCCTCAGCCTCCCGAGTAGCTGGGACTACAGGCGCTCGCCACATCGCCCGGGTAGTTTTTTGTATTTTTTAGTAGAGACGGGGTTTCACCATGTTAGCCAGGATGATCTCGATCTCCTGACCTCGTGATTCACCCGTCTCGGCCTCCCAAAGTGCTGGGATTACAGGCTTGAGCCACCGCGCCCGGCCTGGGCTCTAACTCTTGACCTCAGATGATCCACCCACCTCGACATCCCAAAGTGCTGGGATTATAGGCTTGAGCCACTGCGACCGACCACAACACTGATTATTAACTTTGATAACTTGGTTTAGGTAGTGTACTCTAGACTTTAAAAATTTTTTAATGTTCTTCAGTTTTTTGTTTAATTATAAAAATACTCTTTTCTCCCTTTGTAATTACTGTGTAATTTGTGTAGAGAGGCTTTGAGACTGTGGAGATAATAATTTTCTCATTAGACTTTTCAAACAAGCTTTAGCTTCCTCTTTTTTTTTTTTTTTTAATAAGTGATGGGGTCTCATTCTGTTGCCCAGGCTGGAGTGCAGTGGGACAGTCATAGCTCACTGCAGTCTCGAACTCTTGGGCTCAAGTGATCCTCCCACCTCAGCTTCCCGAGTAGCTAGGATGACAGGTGCATGCCACTATGCCCAGCTAATTAAATAAAAAGTTTTCTTTAGAGACAGTCTTGCTGTGTTGCCCAGGCTGGTCTTGAACTCCTTGTCTCAAGCGATTCTCCTGCCTCGGCCTCCCGAAGTGTTGGGATTACAAAATTAAGCCACTGCACTCAGCTTCTCCCTCTTTATTGCCAAATAATATTCTGTTGAATGCATATAGCCCTTTGTCTTTTTATCTGTTGATGGATAAGTGGCTTGTTTATAGTTTTTGGACTTTAAATAACGCTGATGAATAGTTGTTTACAAGTCTTTGTGTGGAATGTATGTTTTTTTTTTTTTTTTTTGAGACGGAGTCTTGCTCTGTCACCCAGGCTGGAGTGCAGTGGCCGGATCTCAGCTCACTGCAAGCTCCTCCTCTCGGGTTCACGCCATTCTCCTGCCTCAGCCTCCCGAGTAGCTGGGACTACAGGCACCCGCCACTTCGCCCGGCTAGTTTTTTGTATTTTTTAGTAGAGACCGGGTTTCACCGTATTAGCCAGGATGGTCTCGATCTCCTGACCTCATGATCCGCCCGTCTCGGCCTCCCAAAGTGCTGGGATTACAGGCTTGAGCCACCGCACCCGGCCGGAATGTATGTATTTCTCAAATGCCTGTGAGTGAATGGATTGGTCATATAGTAGCTGTGTATTTAACATTATAAGAAACGGCTACTTTGTAGCATTTTACATTTTCATCAGCAACTTTTTTTCTTTTTGCTATGTGTTAAGTCCCATGTCTAGTGGAATTCCCGTATTTTGGATTTGACTGATTGCTTTGTCATGGTATTCTTTTTTTCTTTTTTTCTTTTTTGAGACTGAGTCTTGCCCTGTCACCCAGGCTGGAGTGCAGTGGCATCACCTTGGCTCACTGCAAGCTCCACATCACGCCGCAGTCTCCCGAGTAGCTGGGACTACGGGCGCTCGCCAGCACACCTGGCTAATTTTTTTGTATTTTTTAGTAGAGACGGAGTTTCACCATGGTAGCCAGGATGGTCTTGATCTTCTGACCTCATGATCCACCCGCCTTGGCCTCCCAAAGCGCTGGGATTACAGCGTGAGCCACCTTGCCGGTTGCTTTGTCATGGTATTCTTTGGCATTTGCATGTTCCTTTTTTTTTGTTTGAGACAGAGTCTCACTCTGTCTCCCAGGCTAAGTGCAATGGCATGATCTCGGCTCACTGCAACCTTCACTTCCTAGGCTCAAGCAATTCTCCTGTCTCAGCCTCCTCAGTAGCTGGGACTACAGGCATGCACAACCGTACCTGGCTAATTTTGTATTTTTTGTAGAGATGGGGTTTCCCCATGTTGCCCAGGCTGGTCTCAAACTCTTGGGCCCAAGCGATCTTCCAGCATCAGCCTCCCAAAGTGCTGGGATTAGAGGTGTGAGAGCCACTGTACCCGGCCTGCCTGTTCCTTTTAAAACTGGCAATAAGAAAGAGCTAGGTTGATTAGGTTCAGGCTTTTTTTTTTTTTGCTTGGAATACTACTGTGTGTATTTCACTTTCAGTTGTGTTAATATCGAGTTAGCTCAGGTGTTAGGCTGATCATTCCATTAAAAAGTATCCCATTAGTCTTTGTGGTTTTTTTTTTTTTTTTTTTTGAGACAAAGCCTCACTGTCGCCCAGGCTGGAGTGTAGGCTCACTGCCTCCCAAAGTGCTGGGATTACAGGTGTGAGCCACT